ATATATATATATTTTAAAAAAAGAGATAACTGGTCAACAGAATACTAACAAATTCCAATTAACTAAAAGCATTTTCAAGGGGCTCTTTAAATTTTAACTAAATTCTAGTCAAAATGACTAGAAAATTATTTTAGCTAGTAACTTTTTAGTGAGTCACTCAAACCATACTCTCTATTTTAGTTAAATATAAATTATTTTAATATTTATTAAATTTAAAATACAAATAATTTTGTTGAATTTACAACAAAATCTTTGCATTTATTACAGTTGAATGAATAAAATAATATAAAAAATAAAATGGTTAGCCACTCCATGCTAGTTATATTTAGCTAATGTGAAAGGTATTCTCTAAAATAGCTAATGATTGAAGTGGAGAAAAAATAAAAAAAAAAGTTAAACTATATCATATATAGTTACCATATATAGAAAACTATATCATATGAATAATTAATTAATGTTATTGAAGGCTAGCCTCGTATATACACACCGCTTTCCTTTGGAGTTTTTCACTTTGTGATGTAAGCCTTAGGGCATGTTTCACTATTTTCCACTACATTTATAACTCTTTATACTTTTATTTCTATTAATGGAGTTTGATATAGAATAGAGGGTCTCAATAAACACCAACGTACGTAGTCGGAGTACGTTGATTCTCCCCTTACCATCTATTTTTTAATATTAAAAAGAGATATATATATATATATATATATATATATTTCTATGTATTAAGGCAAAGATATTTTCGTCTATGTTGATACTTGTTCTGATTTTGATATGCCGTACAACGTCATCTTACACCAGATATATATATATATATAATCCCCACTGAGCATTAGAAATTTGACCTTATAATCTCATTATTATTACTTTTCAATTATTAGCCTTATTGATAAAAATTTCGGCCTCCGTCACAAAATGTGATTGTTATGGCCGTTTGTCATGTGATTGTTATACACACTTCTATGTGAATAGGTGGGGCTATTTCAGTTGTGTCTGGCATTAAAATGTGGTGCTTATGGTTTAGAGCCATGATTCGTGTTTGCATTGAAATCTTTTAGTGCAAAATAAGAAATAAATAAATAAATAAATGAAAAGAAAAACAAAACACAACAAAAAATAAAAACAAAAGGAAAAAAAAGGATATTTACATTTTTATACCTCGTGTTTTGGGTTTACTCAGAAACTATACTTTCAGTTTTAATCTTATCAAATGTATACCTTTAAATTAGATTTAATACTTAAATTTATACATTTTCACAGTCAATTTTCAATTTTAAACATAAAATACCTAAAGTATCCTTAAATAAAAATGAAAAAAGAAAAAAAAAACCAAAAGAAAAACTTAACTTACGGCTTTAACCTTAAAATATCCAAATACCATTGAAATGGGTTTTTTTTTTATGTGTTTTAATTTTTATTTTTTGTAATGTTGGAAAGTTTTAGTATTATTTTCTCTCTTTCTTGCCAGATCAGACAGATAAATAGACTGATTTCTTTCTTTTTCTTTCTTTTTTTTTTTTTTTTTTTTGTGTCTTTTGCCAGATAAAACAAAAAAAAAGATTGTTTTTTTTTTTTTTTTTTTTTTTTTTTTTTTTTTTTTTTTGTGTCTTCTCTTTACAAAATTCGAGTTTAAACTTTGTTATAATTTTGTCTCTTCTATGGGGTTATTGGTCTAATTTTCTACATGTTCTATGCTCCAAAGCTTGCTAACATACGCTTTATACATTTGAGTCATTGCACTTGAGGCGATTGGGAAGCACTGTAAGCATCTAACATGGTTGCGAAGAAACACATACAAGTAATTAATTTATGCTTTGTTTTGTACGTTAAAAAGATTATTTATGGTTTGTTGATAACGTAAAACCTTTTAACTTATTTTGCTTTTTAAAAAATAAAAATAAAACAGCGTTGAATAAACTCATATAATATCACTCTTTCTAATAGTGTTTTCTTTTCTCTCTCTTTTTTTTTTTGTTTAAAAAATTAAAAAAAAAAACAGTTTATTTAAACTATACCGAACATGCCCTTAGTTTTTTGTTTCTGTCATTCCATTAGACATAGATCATTTGTGTGTTTTAATTCCTGATATCTTATTTCTGTCTTCTGGTTTGCTAGGAATGAAATCTCTCAAGAAAGAGCGCAGATATTTCAACGTTTTTCCATATATGAAGTAATGTGAATTGAATACCAATAGATCATTTGTGAGTTTTAATTCCTAATATCTGACTTCTGGATTTAAGTTTTAAAGGAATGATCTCTCGAGAAAGAGTACAGATTTTCAACATTTATTTTCATATATGAAGTGATGTGAATTGAAAACCAAAACAATTGCTTTTGGAAATGTGACGAGCATAGGATTAACGTTCAGTTTATTTTAATATTTCACATTAAAGTTATAATTATCTTTTAGAATTTATTTAGGACTATTTTAAATATTAAGACATCAGAAAATTCTCAATTTCATCTGGTTTTTTTTTTTTTTTTTTTTTTTTTTTTTTTTTTTTTTTTTTTTATGCAACGTTGAATTTCCATATATTTATCTTTTAGAATTTATTTAGGACTATTTCAAATATTAAGACACCAGAAAATTCTCAATTTCATCTGTTTTTTTATTTTTATGCAACGCTGAATTTCCATATATCACTAGGTGAAATCCACTCGATGTCATGATGATAACAAGCATGATTAATCAACAGAACATTCATCAAGCATTCACAAATGGCAGCCCTTACTAATACACACCGAGAGCCCATATTATTATTTGATATCATCATATATATTCGGCAGCACACCAAAGTAACAAATTTTTGTGCCTGATCACTCGGAAAATTCATACATATGTATCAAGCCAGTTATCAACCATTATTCAATCAGAAACTAGCTATTACTGAATTTGCCTTATGGCTGCAACGATTTCACCAATGTCGTGAAACTTTCGCCTTTGTTTGAGAAGCAGCTTCGCCAGTTCAAGAGCTCGACGCTCACAACTGGCTCGCTTGGTATCATCAGTAATTGACTCGAAATCCTCAACATGTGCCACACCAACAATTCTCCTGTCAATTAAAATTAATTGAAAGCACATTAAGACAGGACCAAATCGAGCCAGAATATTGAAATACCAAAAAAGTACAACAAGACGCGATTCGCTTCTCCAAAGACATGAATTTAGAGACCATTGACACGTAGTATGCAGAAACGTGTTGAAAGGAGAAGACATGAATTTGTAATGTCTCGTCTCACCTTATCATTTTGGCAGCACCAAATCCAAGTGTGTCGTGGAACAAATCCTCAAAATATTTCTTCTGAACAAGGTGTTGCAGCTCAGGGTTGTTATAAATTGCAGGAAGATATGCCTCACCAGAACCATCCTTGTGCTTGTCCCAGAGAGCAATGAATTTTTTGTGAAAAAGATTCCAAGTGTCTTCAATTGTCCTCAAAATCCATTCCTTGTATTTCTGTAGCAGAAAGTCATTTTAGATTGTTTATCAAAAAATAGGCAGGCAATAAGAATTTAAAACGTAAAGGATCTTTTGGAGAAAGGATGTAAACTACGCCTTCCTGATTCCAGAAGAAGCGGGAGAAAAGTCACAATTGGCTCTGGATTCCATGTAATAAAAATGTTCAAAAGTTCTCTCTGATAACATTAAAGGAACAGTTGAGAGATGTAACAAGAAATCTCCCAGCTCAAACATAAAACATTTTAAGGTGCGTTTGGAACTCGTTCCAAAATGATTTTGTTTTTTGTATGAAAATAGAAATGAAAACGTTTTCAATCTCAGGCATAAATCATTTTTAAAAATGTGTATGGTAGTTTTATCAAGAGATTGTTTTCAGTATAAAAAAAAATCCATTAATATCTCTCTCTCTCTCTCTACTCGAGAGAGGAGAAAACGGAAACAAACAATGAAAAACGACTAAAAGTCGTTTTTCATTTCTCTCCCATTTTACACTAAACTAAAAAATCGTTTTCATTTCCCTTTTTTGTCTTTAATTGTGCCAAATGCCGTTTCTCTCCCGTTTTCATTTTTTTTTTCTCGAAAAACGTAAAAAACAAAAACAAAAACATCTCCAAACACAGCCTAAAACTCTTCCTAACATAATTATCAAGGCATTGAAGTGATTCCTCCTGGTTCAAGGCATTTCAAATTTATTGTCTCGTTTTTAATTATCAAGTCCTTCCCATTGGCTACTCAATGTTGTTTCTAATCTTCTTCAATGAAAAAAAAAAAAAAAACACCACCACTAAGAAGCGCACAAAATCTCAAGATGCATGAAAAAGAAGCACACTTGACGACAGAGTACCAGGCCAACTCAGAAACAAGGTTTAAAAAATGAATAACAAGGTTACTTTTTCAAGTCTCAAGCAGCACATAACTATTGCAGATTCTTTCACGAAAACTAAAGGAGAAATGCAGCTCAAGTCAGGTTAAAAATAATGAGCAAAACAGAAAAAGATGACAGATGAGTGATATTTTGCTGAAGGAAATAAAAATTCATTAGTGACACAAGAAATAAAAAGGATGAATACACAGTATAAATAATGCTATGTCAGGGAGAGCTAGAAAAACGTGAAGATAATGAATACGAGACCAATTATATATGAGACATACTTTGCGATCATTGTTGCCATCAGCATGTCCATCTTGCGAAAAGTAAGCCAAAATCAGGTTTCCCATAAACGCACCAACATCAAAACCCATTGGTCCATAAAATGCAAATTCTGGATCTATAACTTGAGTTGATTCAAGAGTAACCATGACAGAACTAGTGTGAAGATCACCATGAATTAGAGCTTGGGTTCTCTCGATGAACCTACAGCAAAGGCAATTCTAATTTATTTTGGCAATTAAAAAAATGAAAATTGGAAAAAAAAATCTGCTACTAAGATTAAAATGCTCACTTGGATTTTAACTCGGCAATTTCAGCCTTCAGAGCATTATCATTTCGAATAGCGTCAGCATCATGATCGAGATGAGGGGAAGTCCACCGATTATATTGAGAGACTTTGTAAGGGTCAGAAAAAACAACCTGCTCAGTGAGTCTGCATAACTCCACGTTCCCGCAGAATTCAGCAACTGCAAAAATTACAATGCCTATCAGCATATGCCAGGCCCTCAAGAGCTAAATATACCACAATTCAAATATCTTACGGATCAATTTAAGTCGTTTAAGCTCCAATAAAAGATACAAGCAATGAGCAAGCCATATATTGTTGTTAATCATCAACACAAAAGCCTGTTAAAAAAAATAATAAGCTCTTATTAAGGAAAATGACTAGATGGCATTATATCAGATAATCAAGTTTTCTCATAATGTACAGATCAAGGCCTATCTACACAAAATTCAAGAAAAGAGCCGCGACCATTCTCATCCCAAATCAGTGTTAAAGAGACTATAAATTAAATTGGTTAAACTTCAAAACAAGTAGAGATAGGAATAATTAAGTTCAAGTAAATACCAGCACTTTTGTGCTCAGTGGTGGAACGATAAAGGAGGGATGCGTGGAAAAGAGTCTTTGCCATGTATTCCGATATGTGTTCCGCAAGTAACGGGTACTCAACCCCCGCAATCAACCCTTTCCTTAGGATTATGTGTGGGGGCTCCAAATAGCGCATGCCAATTAAAGACATAGTACGATCAAAATGATAAACTTCTGGCACATTATCAGGGCACCAACGGCCATGCTCTTTTAGTGCTACTGCTTCAAAGTATGCTCGCTCCTTTGTCATTGGCCACGACTCACCAATACAGCGTATGTACGGTAGAGCCTTCGCAGTCACAAAAACACATAAATTCGTAAGATACACGGAAGGAGACCATGTAACATACTCAAATTCACAATAACATGGAAGGAAACTATTACACCACGGTCGAGGAATTGACTGTCCCCTCGAACGGCAAGCGCCGAGGCCTCCTTGGGATGAATCGGTCGCTGGCGTCGAGGGTGTTACAATAGCTAATGTGCCCTTTTGATGTCGAGAGCCCGTGTATGACAGCTGGCGTCGAGCACCTCGCTCGACTTGTGGTGGACACTGTGTCGAGGCAGCAGTCCAGTCAAATCCAACAACAGTCTTGTCAACTTAGGGAAGGATACACTGTGCCAATTGCTACTGTCGAAGTCAGGAAATCAAGTAGCCGGTAAGAGAGCTTAGCCTGATTTCCTGAGATTGCAATCATGAAAATATCCCAAAATTAAGGGATAGAAGATGATCTCCTCGGGGAATGCAAAGGAGATCTCTCATATGTAAAGGCCTATAAATAGATCCACAAAACCCCATTAAAGGGGTTACGCACTATTCCATTACTTAAGAACAACTTGTAATCCCTGAAAGATTAGTGCATCCACAAGTGGACTAGGCCAAGAAATCTTTCCGAACTACTATAAATTTATGTCTCCTTTACATTCTTTTTAAGCTTTAATCCTTGATTAATATGTGAGAAATTACCGTGAGAACCTTCGGAGAGTTAATCACGAGTTGTCGGAAAATCACCGTCAACAGAAACCGTCCAGTTATGCGGAGTGTAATTCTCGCCTTGTAGAGAGAGGCATGTTTTTAGTGATTGTACTTTGTAGTTCTTTATCTAACTATAGTGATGTTCTCTTGCGGGCTAAAAATAGACTAGCAGTCGCATTGAGAGTAAATCATTATAAATCTTGTGTACCGTCTATGTTGTTCCTCTTCTCGTTTGTTAACGATCTCGATTAGTAGGAATTAGGGATTTTAATTCCCAACAGAATCCAGGTAAAAATAGTTTTGACAGATACGCATTCCTACAATCTAATCAGCTCAACATAACATTTCATCTACATAAGTTTGCTGGAATGAATTAACCAGTGTATTAGTTTAAAACTAATTAATTAGCACTAATAAGAGGCAACCGATCATCAATTTTACTATAACCCCACATCTACTTTACTTAACTAAACCCTTTCCCTTTCTAATGAAATCCAACCACAAATTACCAAAATGCTAAAATTGTTCAACACCACATCAAAACATCAATAAATCAACTTAGAATAGCATAAATGAAACTATATACACATTTATTACCAAATTTCTCTGCTATCAATCAATACTAACCAATCAACTTGGAATACCCAAAAAATTAAAAATTAAAAAAAGAACTGATCAAAGGCAATAACACTTAGAAGTAAGATTACCAAAAAACGAAAAAAAAAAAAAATTACCTGCTTGATGACGAAAGAGCCAGAGGAGCCGATGACAATGTAGACGAAATTGAGGTTGCCGTCTCCGACTTCCTTAATGGTCAAGCCGTCGATGTTGTCGCCGAGCTTCGAGGAGAGAGAAGGGACGGCCTTTATGTACTCCACCAGGGATTTCTCATCCAACGGCCGATACTCGGCGAAAGCCATCTCTCAACGGCGGCGATGGAAGAAAAGAAGAAAGTGCGTGTGTTTGAGGCTGGGAACGTTGAAAACGTTAAACAGGAAAGGAGTTCTTCTTTTTAAGGTTTGATTGGAACTCAAGAAAAGTATCCAAGAAAAAATGAGTGTTTGCCATTTGGGACCACTTTTGGGGAATTTATAGGTTCATTGAACCTGACCTGACCGGTATAGATTTAAAAAAAAATTGCTATTAATTGTGTTGAAAAAAAATAATTATTATAAAAAGTAATTGAATTTTTGATAAATTTTAATTATATAAATATTAATTTTAAAAGTATTATAGATATAATAAAATTTTATTAATTATATTTAAAGTAATTATTGTATAATTTAAAAGTTAAAATTGTTTTAAAATTATTTTTAATTTTAATTATAAATTCTTTAAAAAATTTTTAAGAATTATTTTTTATGATTTTTATTAAATATAAATTTCAATTATAAATAGCTAAAGAATTGATTTTAAACTCTAAAAATTACTGTAAACATAAGGATTGTTCTTTTAGAGTATGACTTGATTGTAGTTTTTAAGTTGAATTTGAGTTATAACTTGAGTTAATGTTGTAATTTGAATAAAATTGAGTAAAGTTGAATAAAATTAAAACTTAAAAGAATGTAAACTTGAATAAAATTATAACTTAAGTTTTAATTTTTTCTGAGTTTTGTTGTAAAAGAACAACTTCATAGTCTTTGGACTGTTTAGTAACCCTTATCTTGACAGTGTTGACTGTGATTTTTGGCGAATGGCATGGGTGGAATCGGATTCCCCACCCTGATTAAACAAATTAGAGACAACCATTATCTCGCTCCTTTGGAAAAGGTTTTAATTTTCTTGGCTAAGTTTTTGTTTTTGTTTTGTTTTTTTTGTTTTTGTTTTTTTTATTTTTTGTTTTTTTTTTAAATGTCCAATAGGATAATATTTTTGTTAGTTTCGGATGATTCTTTTCCGATTATGTGGGTTATAACAATTACCCTGAACATGGTTTAATCCTCTAAACTTTTTAATTTTAATAATTACTTTTCTGAATTTATAAAATTATTGTAATGTACCATATTTTACTAAATTTGTTATAAAAAATTTAAAATTTTTTATACGAACACCCCCTTCAACTTTATGCGTTTGTCAAATTAGTCTCAACTTTTAATCTCGGCAATTCACCCTTTAAACTTTAAAATTCATTGTAATGTTAATCAAATTGAAAACGAAGTTAAAAGTTTAGATGGTTTATTCCACGTGAACGTTTAATTAGGCTCATTCTAGTATTTTTGCATTGAATTAGTGTCCATATACAAATTGGTAAACCCCAACTTTCCCCTAAAATGGTTAACCCCTTTCAACAAAAAAAAAAAAAAACGTCACTCATAATGTCTATGTGGGGATCAATTTGATACAAAAGAGTAAAATTAGCCTCGTTAAACATTTATGCGGAAGAAAACGTTTGAATTTTCAACCTTGTTTTCAATTTGACCAACATTGGAACAAATTTTAAAATTTAGACAGTAAATTGTCAAGATTAAAAGTTGAAGAAACAATTTGTAACAATTTGAGATGTTTGAAATTTTCATCAACCGTGTCTTTCACTACTAATTTAACAAAAATATCGCCAAAATGTAGAGATGCAAGAACGGACCGGTCCGGCCCGACCCGATCTCCTTAGGTCCACGCGGGCCGGCCGGCCCAGCCAACGAATTTTGTGGGCCGGGTCGGCCCATATAAGAATGACCTTGGTCCAACCCACACCACGGGCCAATTTTACGTGGGCCAGGTTGGGCCGTGCCGCGAGTCAGGATGGGCCGTGCCATGGGTCTTGAATGGGCTGACCCACTCAAGGCCCATCTTGGCCCATCATGCAATTTTTAATCTTTTTATTTTTATTTTTTATGTTTGTATTTTTAAACAACTTAACAAATATAGAAGTTTGAATAGTTGATGGAAATATAAAAATGGATATTTTATTTATGATTACCTCATTAAATAAAAGTATTTCTAAGGAAAACTCAGTGGAAAAAAACCTTGGTAAGAAAAAAAGAGTACAATCAGAATAATTATACATAAGATGTTTACAAAATTACTAAAAAAAAGAAAAAAACATGAAGATATTATGGGCCTAGATGGGCTAGGCTGGGCTGGCCCATTATGGGCCTAGACGGGCCGAGCTGGGCCGGCCCATCATGGGCCAAGATGGGTCGACGCAGCCCAGCCCAAGCCCGGTCTGGCCCATGATTTGGTGGCCCAGCCCAACCCACCAATATTATGGGCTAGGTCGTGCCTTGAACAGTGACGGGTCGTGCCGGCCTGGCCCGTCACTGTGTCAGGATGGGCCTAGGCCGGCCCACTGGCCCTGGCCCATTGTTGCATCTCTATCAAAATATGGCATATTAGAAATATTCTACAAGTTAAGGAGGCAACTTGTCAAAATTAAAATTCAGGAGGCCAATTACTAAAACCATACAAATTCAAAACACAAATGTGTAAAATAACCTTAAAAATAAAGGAGCAAAAATATTTGTCCTGCCATAAAAATACTCTCTTTTCAGATCTTATGATAGTATAGTCGTTAAGTCTTATGAACTTGTTGTCAGTGGTGGATTTAAGTACAGCTCAGTGGAAGCTACCGTCCCTACTCAATTTTTTTTTGAAAAAAATATTACCTTTAAAAATTTTAAAATTTTACACTTAAGCCCCCACTGAAATAATATATCCCCTCACTAAAATAAATGTATTTTCTTATATGCCCCCACTAAGATAATTTGTTAAAAAAAAATTTAGTGTACGCCCCTATTGAAGTGAAAGGCTGGCTCTGCCACTGACGGTAGTTGTTGTCGTTTCCAAAACAAGTTATATGTCATCTCACAAATTTATTGTCGTTTAAAGATACCTTGTCTTTTTATGTAGCCATCGATAATAAATAATTATATTTTTTAGATGATTTAAGTTAAAAGTACTTAAAAATGGTGATTGTGTTTACATTTTTTAGTTAGAATAAGAATACTACTACATTTGTATTGAGAGAATAAAACCCTATTTTATAGAGTATAAGATCAAATAGAGAACTAATTAAGATGTACATATAGGAAAAAAAATATTTAAGTAAGAGCATATTTGAGAATAAATTATATTTTAGTACCTATTTTTTAAATATAAAAAATATTTAAAAACAAATTAAATAGAAAGTTAATTAGGGTGTAATATGAGAAGTAGACAAATGTTTTTATTAAGGGCATTTTTTAGAAGAATTATTTCAGTATAAAAAAGCACAACAAAATTAGTCAGACGCATCTAATCTAACATATGTAGAGGATTGTAGTAAAAGTATTTGGATGACCATACATAGCCCGTGTGAAACCGGAATGTAGCGTGAGAAAAAGAGAAAAAGACGGGAAAAGATTGAAGGACGAAATGGAGGATCACACATTAAAACTGTTAGATATTGCATAGGTATCATGTCATTATATGGCAAAGATTAGTGCCCAGAGCAAGAAAAAACAAAAAAAAAAAATAAAAAAAAATAGAGCAATGTATACATATACCTTATGAGTTTCTTGTTCTTGTCATAAGAATTGACACAGAAAAACTTGCAATAACCCATATCCTTTCAGGTGGGGTCTACCTTGTTGTGAGTCTAGGGTTATATCCCAATGAGTAAGAATGCTCTTCTTTATACTTCTATTATTAGATACTTTTAAAATTTTTTTTTTGAATAATTAGTTTATATATACAAATTATGTGTGTGCAAGCTTTTTTTTACGATCCACCTGGATGCACTATCCAACATAATGTGTGAAAATAAAAAATATAATATGATAATCGTTAAATATAACATTAACATTGAAAATGCGTAACATAATTACTATCATGTTCAATCTAATGTCAATGTTATAGCTCAATGTCATCATGTTATGCTTTTTACTTCTTATTACATGTTAAGCGGATGGACCATCCATCAAACCTAATACGTAAAAGTGAAAATCACAATATAATAGTTATTGAACGTAATATTGTTATGTATTACAGAAGTGTAAATTAATATAATGTTAATGGCTATCATGTTATGTTTAACATCGAGTTACATTTAATCACTTTCATGTGACGCTTTTTATTTTTACGTGGATGTAGTGTCAATTTCGATAGATTGCAGCAATACCCTATATATATATATGTATATATATATATATGTATATATATATATATATGTATATATATATATATGTATATGTTATATATATATGTATATGTGGTTATTGTGCCCACTCGGTCACGTCATCAAGCACGTTGCACACTCGACTATCTGTGTAAAACTATACACAATAATCCATGGCTCCCCGTTTCTTAATTTCCCTCTCCTTGTTGGCGTGGTAACCCTGGCGGTTACCATCATTGGCATTCATGCAATCAACGTTTACGACTTCGACATTAGAGCCGGATCTAGTGTCGGATACTCCCTCTTCACTAGAGAAATCAGAGTCGCGTACACCAAGCAGACTCTGATAAGTACCACATAGGATTTATGGAGATTGTTCGAGCACTAAAACATTTAGCCTAAATCGCATAAAGACTCGGGTTGGCCAAGGCCGAGCTTAGATATTGGGCCCGAGAACCTAATTGGTTTTGGACCAGCCCAACTCATCTATAATTTTTTTTTTTTTTAACAAAATAGTAGAAAATAGACTAATATGAAAAGCTTAAGAAAGTATATAAGTCAATTTTAGTTATAGAAATTAATAGGTTATAATTTGTCAAGTTATGATTCATAACCAGATAAGTTATGGACAAACTTGTCAAGTTATGGTTTATAGCCAGACAAGTTATGGACAAAAACTGTCAATAACTTGTCAAGTTATGGTTCATAACTAGACAAATTATGGACAAAAACAGTAATTTGGCCTATTTATTAACTTATGTAAACTAATGTTTTTCACTACTATGTACGTTTCTCAACTAATTTTAACCCAAGTTCCTTAATTTTACTCGTGTTTTTGGCAATCTGATTTCTCAAATGTACCACTTTCTTCTATTATTTATGTACTTTGGCAGAATTTATATATGCAACTTGCAATCAAGTTTG